CAGAAGCGTTTAAATGCATTCAGTGATTCACTTTGAAGCCCCTACAAGAGAGTGCTTGAATAAAGAATAGGATAGCAGCACACTGGGATGTTAACTAAGTCCACACATGGATGTAGGTGCCTTTGGGCTGCATGGATAAAGAGGGCTGATTTAATCTTTGATGTAACTCAGCTGATTTCAAAAAAAGCTAGAAAATCAGAAAAGAATTTCATGGGATTTTTAAAAAGTTTGAGTATACCTTTGTATATTTCACTTCCTTTTGGCCGTTTTGCGACGTTTTCATGTTCATAAATCTCTAGAGAGTGTTCAGTCAAAGTTGGTAATTACTCAAACATTTTCTAACACTCTTAATTTGCAGTATAATATGCCTTAACATGCTCGCTGGTGTAAGGCAAGCAGCTCTTTCCAACTGTTGTTACTAACAGAAGGCTATTCCATTTTTTGGTAGAGTTGATGCCAGGGGAAGTGGGAGTTGTTGATTTAAATGCAAGTATATGTATTTGACTGAATTTCATTTTCAAATGTATTATTAATGTTTTGTTTATAGTGAGGCTCTGAGATTTATTTCTCATGTAATCCAAAACGAATACTTAGATTGTAAACTCTTTGAACTGGGACCTTTTGTCATGTGGCTATGAACACAGTGCCTAGCACGGTGCCCTGACTGGACTCTCGATGTGCTACTGCATTGCAAATGTTAAATAACAGTCATGGTCCTAGAGCCCAGTTTTAAAACTGCGTCTGAAACTAATTCTAATTCTAGTCACGGTAACCTTGAAGACACTTATTTTACAGTACAAGCCAGCTGCTGCAGCATAATGGGCAATAAACAACTTCATGTGGTATAATGGCTAAACTGTAAAGATCAGCAGATTTCCATCAGCTTGGATTCATGATACCAATTTAGAAAATTCTGTTACTGATCTTAAAAAGTAGCTAATGATAGTCAGTTTTGACACTGAATGCTAGGTTATTGACAACAGTGATGACAAACAACCAGTAGCGCTTTGTCATTCTTGGTAATCAAATTAAACGGTAGCATAATCAAAAATCAGGATAAAGTTCTTCATTTTCAAAGACACGTGCACCTAACTGAGCTCATCATTTAGGTGTGCAAATCTCCTACATAGATATGCAAGCTGAGGAAACACGTGTGTATGTCTACCGTACACATAGGCGGGCAACCCCAACTTGGATGTATGCATCAGTGACTTGCATGCCTAAATCATGCATGCACACGTAGATGTATAAATCTGTGACCATCTGAGCCAAAGTTTATATTGGGTTCTTTTGTTGGTTTTACTGGAGGAAAAAAGCTGGAATCTTGTGCAACTGAATTACTGGAATTGGAGTTCTCTACATAGAAATGCAGCATTATTTTCTGCCTACAGAGTATTTGTAGGTGTGCATTTTCTTCAGGATTTTTTTTTTCTTGGGAGGAGGGGAAGAATTTCATGCTTAAGTGCTTGAATGAAAGGATTGTGTTTACCATAGGGATGAACTGAAGCGCAACAAGGGTTGCAAATATTTGTGCAATAATTCTTCCTTTAAATCTGGTTTGCCAGTGAAACAACACAATGTCAACGGTTTGTATTACAAAGTTATAGAAAATGATTAAAAACCTTTAAGTAAATCAGGATCTGGAAAAATCAAACATACACTATGTACAATCTCTCCTAGCAATGGAATGAAACTTCACGTGGTATGTTTTTAAGGTGTGCACTTTGATGTGTTCCTAATTTTCTCTTAACTACACCTGTAATACATCTCAGATGTGACAGGGAATACGTGACCTATATCGTGCACCATATTTGATTTTAAAAATGCTTTCAAAGCTGTTATTAAAATAAATCTAATTTATGTAAGAATAAAAACAATTAGATCACAAAGATCAGCATAGTAGGATGTGTGCAGCACTAAATTAGAACGTGGCATACTCCAACAATATTATAAGGAAGTTCATTTGGAGGGCACAAGGGAATGAACAGGATTTCAAAAATGGACTGGCCTATGTCCCATATCCCACTGAAAATGGACTGTCCTGGTTCCACTTGAGAATGAGAGGTGCGTCTATTGGGAGGGGGGAGGGGGAGGGGCAATCATTTGGGTAGTAAATTCCGCAGCATGTCAATGGAATGGGGTACAGTGAAGATGAATTCATAGTAAACTGAGAGGAAAAGGCAAGTCCATTAGGACTGCAGGTGCAGGGATGCATCTCTGCCCTATAGGCTCTTCTGACTGATCTGTGAAGTAGTGCTAAGGGTGTACAGCCAGCCCCCACAGCAGTCTTCTAACTGAAGAATTCTCTGATGTTCCACTAGCGTTTCTTCTGGCTGTGATACCAAGGGATTAGGGTTGAATTAACTGACTTGGATAAAATCAGTTGAATAAATGCTTTGCTGAGAACTTGAACCAAATCCGATTACTGAACTTCAAAATTTTGTTTAAAACAAAAGAAAACAGTAACTTTTTTTTCCTTACAGCTCTGCATATCTTAATTTTGGCCAGAATGAGAAGTAGAGATAATGATGTACCATCAAAATCATAAAATATTCTCACAGTATTTCCTATCCATGAGTATACGACTCATTCTGTAAGGTTTCCACTCTGATTTCTTGATTAAACAGGTCCAGCTGAGACTGGATGTAATTCAGATACACTTGGAGAGCCAGATTCTCAGATGGTGTAAATTAATGCAGCTCCAATGAAATCAACTGAATTACCCCAGCTGAAGCTCTGAGTACTAAACTTTTGTCCAATTCAATCATCAGAAGTTTTCAGATCTACCCACTAGCAGATAGATTTTAGCAGAACTATATCTCCAGCTCATACAAACATTCATGCTATTACTGGGCCTGTATCTATGCAGTGTTGCTCTGACACAGACAGATCAGAATGGCTATTCCCGTAGTAACTGTTAGTCTGCTATTTGCTGAAAGCTCCAAAGACTGAAATATGGGTTGGGATTTACAGCAATTCAGATAATGTGGGGAATTGGCCCACCCATGAGCCATATGCTTTTAAACACATGCACATGCACACTGGAACATGTCTTAGGAATTTCCTTCCCATGTGAGGCATTGAACACATTAACCTCCACTGTTGACATTCACTCACTCCCTTAGGTATTGGCAGGACTCTAATGTAAGTCCTATTAAAAGGTAGTCATGAACTCATCACTTGAATATTGTTTGTGAGGCTATTCCTGCTGTTTAGTTTAGTTTCTGGCCATCTAGAAGCATCACCAACCTAGCATTAATTGTCTTACTGGTCGTGCACCTTCCATGTATCCCACCTAAAATTTTCAAGGTACTGTTCATTAAAATGATTATAATATCAGGAAACAAGGAACTGATATGTAGGGAGGTGCTGGTGATGCTTACCTTGTTTTATGTTCTTGTTTAGGGTGACCAGATAGCAACTGTGAGAAAACGGGACAGGGGGTGGGGGGTAATGGGCACCTATATAAGAAAAAGTCCCCCCAGAATGGGACTGTCCCTTTAAAAACGGGACATCTGGTCACCCTATTCTTGTTGCTATTTTTGTTTGTTGTGTACGTAAAATTCAGGTGCGCAAATATTTACAGAAAGGAGTATAAGTGTGGCTGAAGCAAATTCAGTTTGAAATTCAAGTTAATATTCCCTGAAAATTCTTTGTGGTATTCACCCAAATCTTCTAAGAGCTTAGTGAGATCGGTTACAGCAAACTGCACTTTACAACTCCGTATCATGTCAGCAAGCTGCTGTGCTAACTCTTCAAAGCAGAGAATCCAAGTATTCGTTTTGGTCTGGAGGGTTAACAATCCCTTCACCCAGCAATAATCCTCAATCTGATTCTCTTGTGAGAACAATATAGAGCTGTTCTGCTAGTTATTCTCCAAAGCTATTTTAGAAAAAAAGTCACTCAAGATTTTGGGATGTTTTACGTTCTTCAACAGATGAAATCTGAGACTAGTTAATCCAAATGGCTAGACCTGCTTAGCAATTCAAACCTATTGTGTAGCTGTCCCAGACAGTCCAACTGAAACATTGTGCAAACATATCAGGGCATGCCAGAGAGAGAGGGCCTCTCAAATAAATCTCATTAACAAGCTTCAGTATAAACTAACCGGTGATCCTGTAATTTAAATGTGAGTTTTCCATGCATGTGCGTACAGTGAGCGTTCCACTAATTGGACTAAATTTAAAAGAATAATGGATTTCAGCTTAGAATAAGCTAAAACAAATACTTACGTACCTTGATATAAGTAGTTCCTTTTTCTGAAAGAAAGTGAGAAATTGTTGTTACTTGTTATGAAAGACAATAATCTAGTCTTTTTTAAGGAGCATCAGTTTCCAATGGAAATATGATTCCAGACTCAAATATGGGTCTAATTGATTATTTCCTGAAAGGTGTTTATGAGGCAATGGGGCCCGAACTTATTTAATAGCAATAATATCTTTCTATATTTGAAGAAAAAAAATAAAGTAAAACTATTTAGATTTAAATAAAAAATACGCTTTGGGCCCTGATTCAGTACAGCATTTAAACACATGCTTAAGTCCACCTTTATTCAGCAAAGCATGTGCTTAAGTGCTTTGTGGAATGGGGCTGGACTGAATCACATAGAATCAAAGAACTGGAAGGGACCTCGAGAGGTCATCTAGTCCTGTCCCCTGCACTCAAGGCAGGACTAAGTATTATCTAGACCATCCCTGACAGGTGTTTGTCCAACCTGCTCTTAAAAATCCCCTATGATGGAGATTCCATAACCTCCCTAGGCAATTTATTCCATGCTTAAATTTAATCATTTACTTAAGTGTTTTGCTAATTTAGGGCCTAACTCACCAATTGTGAAGGAGAAACCTTCCTTCCTAACTAACATAGATATTGGTCTATAGATAGGCTGTGGTTAAATCGGACAGGCCCTGGTTTAGTTTGCTCATAATTTACTTTGAGATATAATTCAAGCATACAGAGCTGAAGAAGGGGACGGAATATTCCATTCTAGCTCATGTTACCTGAACACATGCCTGCTGAGTAGTGTTAAGCTGGGAAACTTGTTCTCTCCCAGGCAGGGGAGCAGTGTTGACCTTCCACACTTTTTGAAACACTGGCTCAGAACTACCATTGCTGAGCTGATCTTTTCGATGTGGTAGCTTTGATTTGAGGTCAAAAGTCTCCAAAGCAGCTAATGGAGTTTCAGAGTTTTCTTTGGAAGACAGCAATTTTTCATGAATGCAGGAGGGTAATGAAAATGAGGAAGAGGAATAGTACATAGTACACCGAGGTGGACTTTTACAAATATGCCGCAGGGAACCAGCGTGCTCCCTCTGGCTTCCCAACCTAGTGCCATCAAAGCATTCCTGAAGTCCTGAAGCTTGCGAGACGGAGGCCACACTATTTCTTAACCGCCTTAGCGTTGGGGAGGTGGAAATTCTGCCTGGAGCATGCCTGTCAAAGTGGAAAGCTGCACTGTAGCTTTCCTCGTGCTCCTTTGATGGAACCTTTAGCAAGATTGGAGGCTCACTGCAACTTCTTCTCTGGATGCAGCCAACTGGTGACATTTTACAGTCCATACCAATTGAGATAGCCCTTGTTTCGCAGGGCTGGAAGTTGTCACTTTCTGAGTCACTGTTTCCTGACAAATCAACATTCTCTTCATGTGGGTCAATCTTCTTGTTTAGATGATGTTCTGCTTTGGGGTAAGTTTCTTCATCCAGTTCCAGAGAATAATCACAAACTGGTTGTTGCATCCTTTAGCTACAGCATGCAGACCTCTAGCTGTTATCAGTTAGAAAGAACACAATCAGAAAAGAAATCTCCATTCTCAAACGGAATGTTCCCAATTTAACCTCATGTACTTCATATCCCTTTTTAATTAATTATTATCTCTTGTTGAAAACCAGGTGCTGTTTAAGAATAGGACTGAAAAACAAATTCCTGACCACTATTCATTGATGTCACAAAGCTCTTTTAAATTATTATTTGTATTTACTATACGGTGACATGTTCAGTTCTTGTGTAACTGCATTTACTAAAGTCAATGGAATTTAATATAACTCTAAGTCAATGCAGTTGGCCCAGGGATAAATTTGACCTATGGATTTAAATGGTCAAAAGTGACTAGTGATTTTTGGGTGCTCAACTTGAAATGCCTTAAAGGGACCTGCTTTTCAGAGGGATAGTCAGCACTTTCTGAAAATGAGATGCCTCACGTTGTGCACCAAAAATCACTAGTCACTTTTGAAAATTAAAACATTCATGTTCATTAACAGAAAAGGGCTTCTTTCCTATTTAAGGGACTCAAAAACTGTCTCTGTCTCTCACTGCATATTATAACAGATACCTAACTGCATGGTAGAATGGATGTTCTATAAACATATAACTATCCTCCTAAAGAGCCAGATGTAGAAAATATGTCGGGTTGAAAAATCTAGCTTTGATTGGTATCTCTGTTTCCTTGTTAGAACTTTTGATTCTCCTCTTTCCACACACATTCTTTCCGTGTTTTATGTGCACTTACATTTAATATGCCAGCATGTACAAATAAAGAACAGAGATAGATACATTGATAAGGATGCATATGTGTAATGATAGCCCAGTGTGTGCAAATGCTAAACATCTCACCATAAAAAAGAACAATAATTGTTGAGTACTATTGAACTTTGAGCATTTTGGGAATTGATTGGTACAAAGTTAGTTCATGCAGGGGCTCCTGTGGTTTAAGATGACTGGGGAAATCTAAAACGTTCAATGGTCCTTAAATTCATCCTTCCACCTCTAGTGTGAGGCTTTGTGTGTATTCTCCTTATTAGTATGATGGGCTGTGACATAATATATGTCATTATAGTACTGTTCTCCAGAATCAGACTCAGCAATTTAGGGTAGGACTGCCTTTCCATGGACTATTGCATTTGATGGTCTCCTGGAAAGTGCCATGTGAATCTAAGGTACTTTGTTCAGTGCTCAGATATAACAATGGTGGGCACTGTAGATATACCTGTAAAAGATATGGACTCTCGCCTCCCATGATCATTCCTCTATAGCAATTTCTCTCCATGTGAATATTCAGATTTTCTTATAAGGCAGTTTCGCTTGTAGCATAGAGGGCTTTAGGATGGATATCTGAAAAGACCCTGTTCTAAAAGGTTTCAGGAGCAAATAAGAATTTCACGAGCTCAGAGGCCCTGTAGTGGGGCAGCTGCTCCACTCCTGGAGAACAGGGGTTAAAACAGCCAAGCTAGGCTGATTGGGGAAGCAGCCACAGCTGTGGCCAGCTCAATTAGGGCCCAGCTGGCCCTGATAAGAGGGCTGTGGGCCAGAAGCTGGAGGAGTCTCTCTCCAGCCTTGGAGGGAGAAAGACCTGGCTGCTTAGGAGCTCAGGGAACGGGGCCTGAGAAAAGGCAAGAGGAGCAGGAGAGATCCAGCCTGGTAAATCCTCAGGCTGCGGGCCTTGCTAAAAGGCCAAAACAGGTACTGGGGTTGCAGAGGCTGCAGCCCGGGCTTAGGCAGAGGCAGCTGGTCTGAACCCCTTGCCAATGATGAGTGGCCATTACAGACTGCAGTCTGCCCCAGTGAGCGGGGGCTAGATGGTGACTGGCAGTAGCTACTGAGGCAAGGTGTGGCTTGGGAGCTTGTGGATTACTGCTGGGGGCAGAACCCTGAGGTAAATGGGCACCGGGATTTGGGTGGGACATGGGGCCAGCGGCAGGCGAGACATCGGCCAGGAGGCGGCGCTCCGTATGCTGGAGAGCTAATTCCCAAGACGACCAGCAGGAGGCACCGTGGCGGTGAGTCTTTCTTCGCTACAGGCCCTGATTGAGCAAAGTACAAAGGCACATGTTTACCTTTAAGTTTGAGTAGTACCATTACTTTCAATAAGACTAATTATGTGTTTAAGATTAAGGATATAGCTAAGTACTTTGCTTGACTGGGGCCAGAGTCTCTTAATTTTTCTTAGGTCTTTTTCTGCCAGGAAGTGAGACTACAGCACTGTACTATATTAGGAATAACAATGAAGCTAGCAATGCCCATGACCCTTTTTTTTTTTTTTTTAAGCGGGACAAATGGGCTATATCAAATAACTATTATTTACTTAGAGGTTAAGCAAATAAAATCTAACAATCATTTAAGACAAGGCTAACCTGTATTTTCTTTTCAGCAGGGAAGCAGGATGCTTTGAAATAAATAAATAAAATTGGTATTATGTAATCAAATAATACAGAAAAAAGTTGTTAATTAAGGTATAGTGGCAATTTCTTGGCAATTTATCTGGTAATTAAGTGTAATAATCTGTTATGTTTCATAATGTATGAAGGTGTAGTTCCCAGATACTACGGTAATAGTCCCTCTAGAAATGGATTGATAGGTAAGAAAATAATTAATGATAAACTAGTTATTTAACAAATGTGGCCTCTCATTTTGTCAACAGAATATCTGCAAACCATTCAGGATTTCCCCAAATCTGTTTTAGTTGTTTATTCAAACATATGCTGGCTTTTTACCCCGCTTGATTGATTGAATGTGGCTTGTGAAATTTGATCTGGTGTGGCTTAGTTTTAAATAGATAATTATGTGGTATTGTTTCTGTTCTCTCATTGGATACATCTACCAATACTCTTGACCCAAATTCGTGAAGGTGCAAACTTAAAATCTATTTTTTGAGACTTCTGATGTATGCAACTTTTACATTCGCTTTCCATAAACATTTGGGCCAATCCAATCCAATCACTCAAAAGTTTGCAGGAAGCAAATGCAAACTTTTCTTGAATATGATGGAAATGAATTAATCACAACTGTGGTGAATATCCATATAATTTTTTTGCCTTATTTACCCATCTTAGAGAGAGAGAGAGAGAGTAATCAAAGCATGTGCTCATTAAAACTGAGATACACTTGGAATTCACACTCTCCATAAATCATGCACAAAATCAGTGTTATTTCCCTGTTTTTCATCTAGGCTGTAATAGCACAAGGTTGTAGTGAGATCTTCTATTACTATGGCTTCATGATCTTTTCAGCATTTATTAGTATACAGTGAAGTATTATAAATAAAACTAAGCTGCATTCACTGAATAAATGAACAGAAGTATATTTTGTGATGCATTACATTTGTTTTTTTAATAAGTGAAACCACTCGGTTGTCTATCTGCAGAATTCTATAATTCACAATAGGGCTTCCAGATATTAGTATGAATTAAGAAAGTTTTACTGTGTAGACTTTATTTTTGTTAAACATATATGCTTATGAAGCACAATTTGAATTAAAACTTATTCTCTGGAAAGCTCTTACATTAAACTGAACATATAATAAATTTCAGTAGTTTTTTGAAACTAGGAATCAAGAAACTCTTCTCAGCAACACAATCTTGACCAAGCAAAACATGATATAAGAAAAGGACAGACACACGGGCATACTCTAGGTCATTAAACTTACTGCTTTAAACAGCTGAAGAATTGGTTTCATTCTCAAATTGTCAACTTTCAATCTGTTCACATCCTCTGCAAATATAACAAAAATAAAATAAAATAAAAGTCAAACATTTAACTTGCTTCACTGTATATTGGACTCAGCCGAAGCGATACCTTTTTCTCTTCCTAAGCTTCCTTGCTGAGTGCTGAAATAGGGAACTAGTTTTTCTTCTTGTAGATTCAACGTTTCTAGGGGATTTGTTTATCAGAAAGGTCAGACAGAGTGGCTTCAGGATCAATGCCAGTTTACAAACGGTAACATGATCCATTTTAACACAAGATTAATAGTATTCACTCTCTAGAATAATTGTCTCTCCTCTTTGCTTTTCATTTTCCCTTTCAGATTGCTCTGCATAGATTTGTACTGTGTGACAGACCCAGACCAATGGGGTACAGGAGTCTGGTAGAGGGCAAATATACTGGTCACTGGATGAGTAGTTTTCTGTTCCCTGAGTGACCAGAGCAGGGGCTGCACTAGAGTAATCAGGGACCTGCTAGAACCAGTTAAGGCAGGCAGGCTAATTAGGACACCTGGAGCCAATTGAGAAGAAGCTGCTAGAATCAATTAAGGCAGGCTAATCAGGGCACTTGGGTTTTAAAAGGAGCTCACTTCAGTTTGTGGTGGGAGTGTGAGGAGCTGGGAGCAAGAGGCGCAAGGAGCTGAGAGTGAGAGGGTGTGCTGCTGGAGGACTGAGGAGCACAAGCGTTATCAGACACCAGGAGGAAGGTCCTGTGGTGAGAATAAGGAAGGTGTTTGGAGGAGGCCATGGGAAAGTAGCCCAGGGAGTTGTAGCTGTCATGCAGCTGTTACAGGAGGCACTATAGACAGCTGCAGTCCATAGGGCCCTGGGCTGGAACCCGGAGTAGAGGGCAGGCCCGGGTTCCCCCCCAAACCTCCCAATTGACCTGGACTGTGGGTTCTTCCAGAGGGGAAGGTCTCTGGGCTGTTCCCCAACCCACATGGTGAATCTCTGAGGCAAGAAAATCCGCCAATAAGCGCAGGACCCACCAAGATAGAGGAGGAACTTTGTCACAACTGATAAGGTTTGGCAAAGGAAATCTTCCTCAGGTAAGGAATAGGTATCAAGAGCAGATGAAATTCTAAGGAACAATCCTGTTTCTATGCAAGTGTCTTAAGCAATTAGAGCTGTCTGAATTAATCATTGTGAATAATTTAATCAATGAATTCAGCACTTTTATTTTGTTCATGAATGATCAGCAATCAGGTTGGGATTCTAACAAGTATGTTCACAATTGTTTGAATTATATGTATGGAAAAATT